TTGCTGATTAATTTGTAAGATGTCATTCAGACATTATGTCAAACTCCACTGTATGGTGACACTATCTTCTGGTAAATTTGGCTAGAAAATCAATGCTGTGTGTGTTTCACACAGTACTTATAACAGCACGCTAACGTTAGCTACGATGGCATGTTAGGCTAACTTTAGCGGAGTTATGCCAACACTTCTTAAACACGACAGTTTAAGATCTGAATTTTGTGTTGAATTAATGCCGAAATAAAGAAAATTTCCCAGATATTAGTAATAGGTTTCGTAAACGTTTGTGCTATGTTAATATAGCTGATACAAACAGACAAAATTTTGCATTGCTATAAATACAAGTGAAGTTTGGCATGACGTTTACGTTCACCGCCAAATTATATTCATTATTTAAAATCACATTTATTCTGTAATCATATTTAAATTGCATATTAAATAACAATAAAAATCTTGACTTAATTTAAAGTTGTGGAGATTGCACAGAGTGGCTAGGCTATTGCTGTCTGCACAATGTATGTTTTAGTGTAGAACAAACAGAAGATCTTTAGACTAAATGTGTTGATAATGTCAAACAATTAGAATATATTCTGACATTTGTTTGCTATCAAACGTAGCCTTGAACACTAAGTAACATGTAACATTAGTGAATATATGTGAAACCAGTTACCCCAGTCTCTCCAAACACACACACAGTTAACACTATTATTATTTTTTTAAATCATCATATGCATACCTTACCTACATGATGAGAGTGACTTGTATGTTGTTTACTGCAGCTAACAGGTACATATGTTGGAAAACTCCTATAATAAATTGCTTTACTTTGTCTGGCTCTTACATTGGACGTTTTTGTCTTCTGCACTGTTGATTAATATATATTTTAATCCATTATTATAAATTATTGACATCCCTAATTATTAATGTTCAAACCCTATTTACAGTAGTAAAAACTAGTATAAAACTGCATTTGCCTGTGTGATGTAGTTAGTACACACATTATATGATATGTGTACTGTACCCTGGTATTCTCTGCCCCTACAGAGCAGCAGTACTTTGACATTGAGAAGAGGTTGGCGGAGAGTCAGGAACAGATCCTGTCTGTCACGAGAGACCTGCAGACTCATAAAGAGGAAAATAAAAAGCTCAGTGAGTTGAAACACACACATGCACACACACATATACATGTGACATTTATAAAAATGTTCTTGTGTTTTGCCCAGTTTGAATGGAAAGGGCATCAAAAAAGCTTTGTTCTTGCTTTAATCTCAGTTTTCCATCATTTCATTTCAAATCCAATGTGCTGGGATCTTTAACTGTTACCACATAGTATTAAGGAACATATATCTTTGTGTGTGAGTATTGTTATGCTTCTCCTGCCCAGATGTAGAGCTGAGCACTCTGAAAGGAATAGAGGGAGACACCTCTGAAGATAAACCACCACAACAGGTACCCACACACCTCAAGAGGACGTAGTGTTAATGATGACATCACCTAAAAAGTATAAGGTTTTTGTTGATGTTCTTATAATCAATCTGCAGTCCCTTTCATTGTCTGAAACATAGCTATTGCTTGTATCAGAAGCAATGAGTAAATGTCTTTTTTAAATACATTTTGAAATAAAAGGAAAGTACCCTAAATTTTGGATGAAACTGTTGATCATATTGTGTTGACTGTTGAGAAGGGGCATCCAATGATGTCAGTGAATGTATTGTATTACTGGTATTTGATGTTGTAATTTAAATGATGTGTAACATGAAGCAGCTTTGTTTAGTGAAGAAGTGATGAGCAAATGTCCTTTTATTGCAACAGTTGCCTGTTTTTCAGCTTTGAAACATAGTATGAGTTATTCTCAGACCACTGTTGATACAGAGGTGTAAGTGCCAGTCTATGTCTGAGATACAAGCATTTCATTTGAGATTATACTTTTTTTGGTATGAATGGAATTATACATATAGAGCATACAAATGCCTGCTACCATTGACAGCGTGTGTGTGTGTGACTGCAGCAAACCAAAGCCAAGTATGAGATTGAGGCAGAGAAGAGAGAGCTGGCCAGGTTGCTGGAGAAGAGAATGCAGGAAGTGGAGAACCTTACTGGTGAGTTCAAAGGTCCACACATAAACGCAAACAGTCTAAAGACTAGGACTGTATCCAACTAAGTCGGGTCTTCAATGCGAATTTTCGACAGTTTGTTCTTTTTCTTTCTTTCTTTTTATACTATAGACAGCATAGACTGTCAGAAAATCGACTGGCATGAATTTCAGTGATGATTTTACTGCCACATTAACATTGGTAATCAAATGCAAAAGAATGATAGGAACAAATTTCTGTGAATTAAAAATCAGTAAAAGACAGCTGAATATGTTGAAAGATTTAGAATTAGAATCAGCTTTACTGGCCAGGTGTTTTGGACACATGAGTTTGACTCTGGTACAGTGGCTGTCAGTGTGTGTGTGCACAGCATTCTTCTGTAAAGCAGCGAATAGACAAACAATACAAGGCTGAGAAAGCAACAATTAAAGAAAAATAATGTGCATTAGGAAAAAGTACAAATAAATTACTTATAAATATAGAACTATATATACACACAGTGTAGATATACAACAGTATATTTACAAGGTATTGCACTGAAGATTGTCGTTCTCTTAGACAGTCATGGGTTAAGTGTTCATCAGAGTCAGTGGGGGCAGGTACAGTGAGCTGGGTCAGTTTGGATGATGGTGTTGAATACCAAGCTGAAGTCCACAAAGAAAATTGTGAACTATTTAAATTGACTATCTAATTTTGGGCTGCCATATGGATTTGTCAGAATAACAAGACAAGCAGCAACCTCTAGTATTTCTGTTAAAACAGTGCTCTTATAGGCAGTTTTTATTCTGAGATATGGTTGTAGCCTAGTTTACCAACAAGTTTGAGCTTCTCCTGCAGCTAACCAGTATGTTATATTTGATTTATAGTTTCTCATTGAAATGTTAAATGACTATGTGTTGTACTTTAATGGAGATGTGTAAATAAACCAGACTCCTATAACATTAGGCTATGCAAAACCAGCTACATCACAACAGTCTTTTGTCTTGTAAAAGCAGACCACAATGTTTGAAAACACTTCTGTAGTACAAATCCCACCTTTATGTGGCTTGTCCTAGTGGGTTTTATCCTTTTCTCCTTGTTCTGCAATTTGCTAAATAGATCTGACCTTAATGTACAACCATGCATCAAACAGTGTCACCGTTGCTGCTTAGCACACCAGAATGAGGAGAAGACGATGATGAACTGGTAGGCTGGGGCTGCCTTCGATAGTAATGCACACTGGCTGACAAAAAATAAAATAAAAACAAAGGCTTGACTTGAAGAGTTTCAGTTGACTGAAGTCTCTTGACTATAATGACTCGACTTTTTGACTGTTAGAGGCCATCCCTACTAAAGACACAAATCTAGAAGCACTTTGTTAATAGTGCAAGTTGTACCTCCATCAATACTCATTTTAGGCATCTGATTATAGTAGTAACAGTTTTATTTATGTCCCTTTTGTGTGTGTGTGTGTGTGTTTGCAGAGGATGTGAAACGTCTGAATGAGAGGTTGACAGAGACCAACAAAACCAAGATGGAGCTGCAGTTAAAACTGGATGATATACAGTCCTCTGATGCTTCTGTACAGGTAAACACCAGATTTCACAGAAGTCACTACAGCTCTGGGTTGTGTTCACAGGGACATTCCTTAAGCAGCAGTTTTTCTAATGACCACTGGAAAATTATAATGTAAAAAAAAAAAAAACAGTTTAACCGCTAATGTACGTTATAGCACCGGGAGAAGCGTATGGAGCAGGAGAAGGAGTTGCTTGAGAAGAAGATTGAGTGGTTAACTGCAGAACTGAAAAACAAAACTGATGAACTGCTGAACACCAACAGAGAAAAAGGCAAAGAGATCCTGGAGCTGCAGGGTAGTCTGAAGAACAGCAACGAGCAGGTAACACACAAATGTATGAACTGAGCAGGTTTTTAGTGTGTGCACAAATATACCAGTGCTGTCATTATTGTCTTACATCTCCTGTATTACTAGTGACAGTGGAATGTGATGTGGGAAATGAATAGACAAGATTAATACAGAAAGTTTTTCAAATCAATATCGCAAATGTTTGTCTGTACAAGCTGATGTTCTCACATCCCCTTTCCAGTTATCTATACTCTATATAATATGTATATTCCTAAATGTCTGAGATGAGGTGTTACTCCTTACAGTCTGTCTGGCAGATGATATGACAGATGACAAAACACTGAAACTTTCACTCTTCTTCTTTCTGCCCTGTTTGGTCAGGTTTCATTGAAATGCCACAGTGCTGATGTCTCTGTACTAACCTTTCTGTTCAACAGGTGACCAGACTGGAAAGTCAGCTTGTTTCTCTGAAGGAAACCAGTGAAAGCCAGAGTAAAAGAGCTGAAGACCTCAACAACAAACTGAAGCAGGTACTGTAAAACGCACTGGTGTTGTTCTCGAGGAACAGACTGTTTTTAGACAAACCAGCGAAGGTTTAAAATAATTCTTGTTTTTGTGTGCACATAGGAAAGCTGAGGGTCCTCACATGAAACACCCCCTAGTCCTCAAAATGGACTGTAGACTGGTTTAATGCCATAGCTAAAACTTTAGTGCAATACTACAGTGATCACAAACATGCAGTCACCTTCCTTAGGAACACTGAGTTAATACAGACTTTATTTAAAAGGTACCTTAACAGAAATGTACTTTAATTTTGGTCATGTTTTTTTTTTCTTTTTTTTTTTTAGTAGGCAAAAAGAGTAGGCTGCTTATTTTTACAGGATAAAAATATTTATTGCAATGGTTAAACATTAGGACGCCCCAATCTGATACTAAGGTTGCAGTTATATACTGGTTTCATGGTGTGAAAATTGACAGTTATCATATCATGCACATTTGCTTATTACAGTATTGGAGAAAAAAAGAACACTGTGGGTACCTTTCTTCTCCAACTGACTGTCAGACTCCGCAACGGGTGTCATATGCACAGATGAAGCAGACAAATAGCAGAGAGGATGAGGCTGATAGTAAACCAAACGCCATCCACCAAACAATAAATTAAAATCAGCAGCGCAGCATTACTTTAGATATACCAAAAACAAACACCATCCCTCCGTGCAGTATGTCGTTTATTATTGTAATCCGAAATGATAAAACCTTACAAAACTTACAAAAGGACTTGCACTGATCCTGATGTGACCCCAGAAAGAAACACACCTGCAAACTTTCACAGCTCACATAGATGAGCGTGTGTGTGAGTGATCATCTTTTAGAGCATTGTGATGGCATTTCTCACTATTGGCAGAAGTTTCATAAAGCTGTCAGCTGAGTACTTGAGAAAATCAACAGGTTAATCCCTAATCAAAATAATCAGTAGTTGCACTTGGATACAAAATGGTTCAGTAGAGCTGCACCTCAACCAGCTACAACAGTCAGATACATGAATGATAGGCTGGTAATGTAAAGATATAATGGTATGTGTATACATACTGTATATATTTTATATTGTAATGTTTTTCTGCATTGAATAGCCTACTTCTACTTTTAATACGTTAAGTACATTTTGGTGGTAATACTTACTTTTACTTGACATTTTCAATGCAGGACTTGTAACAGTAGGCTACCTTTACAGTGTGATAGCAGTACTTTTACTTAAGGATGTGAATACTACTTCTACTGTTGGTGCTACCATGCAAACTAACATGCTTTAGTTATATAATATTATAGTTATATGCGTTAAAAAAAATCATGTTTATAATTCAGTTTATTCTTTAGGGTTAATCTAGCTCTGCAATTCAGCTCAATCACTGGCACTGTCACTTGCAATTAAAAAGCTGCTCTGTTTTTATTGTAACTGATAACAATAATAATAGTAGTAGTTGTAGTTGTGTAATACTGTGAAAGCATGATATTTTCTGAGATGGTTATCATACTGTGAAAACCGCTGCAACCCAATCCAATACCAAGTACTGGTATCAGTTGTGTGTCTCTGTGTTGTCTCCACTTTTCTCTCCAGGCTAAAGATGAGCAGAGCTCTATGGAGGAGAAATACCGCAATGAGCTCAATGCTCGTGTCAAGCTTTCTTCACTCCACGAGGTAGGAATCGCTGCAAGGCACCAGTCATACATAGATTCTTTAAAAAGAAAGGTCATTTTGGTATGAGCCACTATGAGGCCATTTAATGCGTTCCACCTCACTGTGACATACATTTGGTCATCTGCCCACATCCTCAAGGACTGAACAGGGCTTCACATTTGTAATGGCATGCTGTCAGCAGTGGTGAGTAGGTTAGGAAATCAAATATGTTACTGTTTACATATTACTCCTGAAAAAGTAATAATATTACTTATTATCCAGTATGACCTGTCATATTACTGCCTTGGCAGAAATGATGTACATCATGTTTAGATCTACAACAGCTACATGAAATTTAAACAAGCTTTTTAAAACTGAATCGTCTTATTGGTAATTAACCTTACTGTCAGCAATCAACTGTCACCCCAACTGCAAACAGTGCAGACATGTCTGTCAAGCCTGATGGCATATAGCCTATACAATAAAAATGGTTTTACGAACTAAAGTGTTGCTTGTTGTATAACACCACATTTATATTAGGTCCTCATAAGGTAACTGGAGAATGCAGCTTAAAATGTGTACGCTGCACGTTCAGTTTCTCTGTGCTGACACATCAGTCTTGGTGAAACTGTTTAATTTGTGATTTGAGTAACATTTATTCAGCCCTTTATTTCATTTAATCCTCTCTGGAATTCCCTCTGTTTATGAATGGAACAATGCAACGAAGCAGCCAAAACAACTTGTTGTCTGCTGAGGTCCCTGTTTTACCTATAAGCCAACAAGTGAGGTCCTCATTTTACCTCTAAATCAGTGAGTGTGTTTACACTTGTAATGCTAGTGCCTGAGGTGTGAAGACACTGACATTTAACAGTAATGAGTGACAGTTCTGCCTCCCCCCACACGTTCTTAGAACTTGATTTTTTTTACTGTACTTTAGTGTCAAAACGTAGCTCTCAGAACGCACCTCCAAACTGGTCAGGCAGTGGAAACAAATGCAGAACCTGTGATGAGCGTTATTTGGCTTGACACATTTTGTTAGGTTCCTATATTGGAAAAACCCCTTACGTGTGCCTGCCTCTGGTCCTTCGTCCTACTGCAGTGGCCTGATGTCTGTGTTCTTCCTGTAGGGGGCAGCAAAAGATATGGAGTCCAAGAACCAAGAACTGAGCAGAGCAGTTGAAGAGCTAGGCAGGCTGGTTAAAGACACTAGTGAAGGTAAGACTCCAGGTTTCAGTTGTCTTCAAACATACAAAATGTGTGCACTAGTAAATCCAGCTGATAAAATGAAAATAAAGGCTGACTGCTCTCTGCCATTTTGTCCTGGGCTTGCTTTTCAGTTTGAAATACTGAATCTCTACATGGCCATTGCTCACGCTGATCGTTCGTAAACCAATGAACCTGGTGAAATGTGTCCCAACCGCTTTGTTTTTAGCTGTGTTTTGCTTACTGATTGTTCTAAGTGTATAATCTTAATATTATATGAAGTGTAGCTTATCATAATGACCCATGTGATTGATGTCACTGTCTTTGCAGCCAATAAAGCACTAGAGAAGAAGGTGTCTGAGGGAGAACAACTGAAGACACAACTCGAGGCAGAGCTTGGGGAGAAAATCAAGAAAATGGAGAAAGAGCTGGAAAACAGTACAGTGAAGGCTGCTGGCAAACATTGCTGTAAGAATACACACACATACCATATAGTATGTGAACCTGATCATTCTGTGTTGTACCTTTGTCATCATAGCCACACATCTAAAAAGAACAGCAACTGAGCTAAATCATTTACATCTATGGACAGACTGTGCAACTGTGGCATGATGAATATCTAAACTCTTCAAGATTACCCTGTGCCCCATGCAGATACTTCTAGTGAAGAGCAAACTCAAAATGTTTGAGTGTTTTATATGTCAGAGTAGCTCTAACCCACACCTACGGTCTTGTTTTACTGACAGGGCTCTATGTTTGCTAACGCCCGACTCCATTTAGCTTTTATTGATGTCATTAACCTAGGGGTTCACAGACGTTTTCCAGCCTACACTTTGAATGTTTGATCTATTCAGTGGAAGAAAGAACAGTATGATGATTTGTGTGTTACCTGTTAAAACAGGTTGTGTTTGTTCATAATTATAAATGCTAGTCTTTCCTCCAACTCTAGGTGTTAGTTCTATACCTCAATTTATTCAGGCTTTTTGTCATGTTTGTGATTATTTTTTAGACTGACGTGTGTGTGTATGAGTATCTGTGTACACACCCTTACCACCTTTATTATTTTGCTCCAGGTATGCCTTCTCTGACTGAGGAGGAGTTGGACAACATGTGTCCATCAGCTGCTGCCATTGCTGCGATTGTTAAGCCTGGCATGAAGTTCTTTGAAGTGAGTGCACTGACCCTTTAGAGTTCTAATATGGTTAATATCAATATCAAATTATTACCTAGACAGCACTCAGAGAGCACAAACCTCCACCAAGGCAGTTGCAGCTCACTTTGCTCATAATACCATTGCTTTAATACATGATAGTTTGACCCTCATAATATCACAGCTTGACCATGAAAACCTACCCTTGGCATTTCGAATGATGCTGATATCATTATTGGTTTGAAAGTTATTCAAGAAAACAATAAACATGAATAATTACTAGATGCCATGAATGGCTAAATAAATGTCCCATGCAGACTGACATAACAATGTGATGTGTACACACACCACCCAACAATGTTTGGCTGCTCTAAGGGCAAAGACACACCAAGCCAACATGAAAGAACTAGCAGCAATGAAGGCCGACAGTTGTTACCTAACACTCACTGCCTGTGTCTGGGCCAGTCAGGTTGAAAACGTTACCTAACACTGCCTGTGTCTTGGCCAGTCAGGTTGAAAAAATGGCACAAATGAGAGCGAATGGCCAACTAGCACGTATATTTTGCGCCTAAGTGAGAGAAATAACTCCCTACCATCAGGTGGTGATATCTGTATTCTTCATTCAGAAAGGGAAAGGAGGAGAGCTAGACTGCGGAAACAAAGCAGCTGTTGTTCAGCACAGCTGCTGTTTATAGCTACTTCTAATTGAGAATACGTCTGATAAGAAGTTGCAAATGACACAGCCGTTCTCTGCCCTTGGTCTTTTGGTTGTGGAAGAAGAGAAGAGGGTGTGGAGGCAAAAAAAAACAAGGAGAAACTGCACTATACTGCACTATATGGGTGAAAGCATGGATATTACAGTGACAGGTTGAACGGGCTTTCCTGAACATTTCTCTTCTCATGCACTGATTTGTTGAGCTCATCAACCAATCAGAGTGGTCTCTCTCTCACTGACAAGGCCCATTGCTCATCCATCGCTGTCTGGTTTGGCTCAGCAACCGAACAGACTCCAGTCAGGACTGAAGAAAGAATTATCAGTGCCAGCCTGCCCTCCATGGAGGACCTGTACACCTCATGAGTCAAAAGGAGGGCAAGATTTCTGCAGACCCCTCACATCCTCGACACAAACTGTCTGAACTCCTCCCCTCTGGACAGTGCTACATGTCACTGTACGCCAAAATAACCAGACACAAGGACAGTTTCCTCCCCCAGGCCATCACAGCTGACCATTGGCTGGGTGTGTCATGGCCTTAAGTGCTGAGTAGTGCAGTCATACACCTTTGTCACAAGGGGGCTCACACCCACAGTCAACGGCCTTTCCAAAACTCACAGTGGTGAAGAATTCCTGGGTCTGGATGATGATCCAGATCAGCACCAAAATCGAATGGATTGTTTTATACATTACCTCTCCAAAACGTTCATCCAAATTTATTCATTACTTTTTGAGTTAGGCTGTGAAGAAACCAGCCAACAAACGCTGGTACATCCAACACGGCGAAGGTAATAAAGATGTATAGCTATTTTGACATAAAGCACAGTATGCAGGGTCAGCATTTTTTTTATTATTTTTTTTTTTTTGGGAAGTTATGTTTGATAGTGTCATGCTTCTTTCAGATAGAATCATTGGGTATTTTTTTTCCAATGCCAACTTGGCTTTTCTTTGCATGGCAGGCTTTGAACATGCCATTCCACTTTTTCAACCTGTGCTGTCTCTAAAAATGACAACCAGTCCGAGGGCAAGTTGTACTGAAATCTTGTTAAGTGCATAGTTCAGACAACTGAAAAACCAGTAAACATGGACATAAATGATGCTGGATTTGAATTTCAAAACTGGCATTGCAAATATTTTATGAGAAGGGAAATCTGTTTAACATATTTGTGTTAAAATGTCTTTTGGCAAGTAACATTGTAAACCTACGTTTTGTTTGTTTACACGAGAAGTCATCAGGGCATCTTTAGCTTCCTAGATTTGGAGTTAAGGGGAAGAGTATATTTTGCAGTGTAAAATTAGCCTTTCTGCAACCTGACACACTATTGTTTTGTCTTTGAACAGCCATTTGTTTTAGCAATAGAAAGTTCTAATACTTCCTGTTTTTTTTTTTTTTGTTTGTTTGTTTTGTTTAGCTTTATAATGCATACGCTGAGTGTCAGATGCAACTTCAGCTTGAGAAACAGGAGACCAGGAGAGTGAGCAGAGTGCTGGATGAGATTGTCCAGGAGGTTGAGTCCAAAGCACCTGTCCTGAAGCGCCAGAGAGAGGAGTATGAGAGCATGCAGAGATCCATGGCCTCCCTCTGCAACAAACTGGAGCAGGCTCGAACGGTCTGGGATAGGATGCATCCTCATTAAGTCATGCATTTATTCACTTTTTGATTCTTGATAACATATTCCTATGTGTTGTGTCCTGCTTTGTAATTAGGAGATCTACAGTTTGCAGAAAGAGAAGGAAGAAGCCAAGCAACACTGTGATGCTCTGGAGAGAGACAAACTGAGGGCAGAGCGACAGCTAGACGATACCTCTGCACAGGTACACACCACTACATTCTGAGCAATATAAAACATACACTTATTCTAGCCTGATGATATTTGTTGTGCAGTGAATTGACATTATCTGCAGTCTAACCATCATGTGAATAAAGGATTAAAGACAGAATAAAAGGAGATTCATGCTGATTGGTGCAGAAGCTTTGATTCCTGCGTTTGTTCTTGGTGCAGGTGTGTGCGCTTCTGGTGGAGCTGGAGGAAGCCAGAGGTAATCAGGTGACCAAGGACGACAGCAGCTCCGCTGACATTTCCAGCACCTCTGAAGTTACTGGCCCTCAGCAGCTGTCTTTCCGCAGTGTGGAGGAGCTTCAGAGGCAGAACCAAAGCCTGCTGGGAAAGCTGAGGGAGCTGCAAGAGGAGAAGGACAGGCAGCAGACCCAAGTAACATCAGCACGGTAAGAAGAGCCTCTATATGAAATGAGTTAAATTTTGTTTTTGGAAAGTCAATCAGTAACAAATAAACACCAAAAAAGTAAAAGTAGAAGTAAATCAGATCACAAAGAAATGAAAAATGAGCACAAGGACAAATGACTTTTGGAAAATAAACAGACTAAAAAGAGAAGAAAAAACTAAAAGGAAATAAAAAATGATGAAAAGGGGTTATAAAGCAAGTGGCCACACCTAGATATAAAATGAGACAGAATGACCACAAAGACACAAAACAGCAACCTATAGGTGCAAAATGACCACAGACATGCAGTATGATTACAAAGAGCCACAAAACTCTATTTCAGTCTAGAAATGTTTCTTTGTAGGGGCTCGGTTCCCTTTACATGTTTATGCCTGGGGGCCCAGTGTCTCATGATCCTTCTGTGACCACAAGTACTTATGCTTCTGCTGGCATTAGTTAGGTTTTGCTTTAGACCAGGGGTGGCCAATTCCA